AAACTCACTCACATTACTGCACACTCATGTCTTAATTAAAAATTATGATCTTTACAAAAAGAAAAAACAAATTCACAATTTAGGTGTGGGAGAAAACGGAAATTTCCTCATTTTTTCCCTTTCCCCTTTTTCTTTTTTTTGCCTTCTTTCTCTTTTTCTTGTTTTCCTTTTTCTCACTTTTTCAAAAATTTTACTAATTTTTCATTTTTTCTCTTCTCTCTTTTTTTAGCTGTCAATCTGGCTGGAAAGGACCTCTATGCAACGAATGTGAAGTTCATCCCGGTTGTGTCCATGGAACATGCTCCAAACCCTGGGAATGCATTTGCAACGAAGGCTGGGGTGGTCTGTACTGCAATCAAGATTTGAACTACTGCACCAACCACAAACCCTGCCAGAACAATGGTATCTGCCACAACACCGGTGAAGGTCTCTACACATGCAACTGCACTGCCGGTTTCCAAGGACAAGATTGTGAATTCGAAATTAACTCCTGTGCGGAAGTGAATCCCTGTCAAAATGCTGGTACCTGTATCGAAGATGGTTCAAAACGTGGCTACAGATGTGAATGCAAGAAAGGCTGGGCTGGTCGTCTATGCGAAGATAAGGTCATCACATGTGCCGATAAACCATGTGTTCATGGTTCATGCCGCGACACCAGCAAAGGTTTCCAATGTGACTGCCCCAATGGTTATAGCGGTACTATGTGTGAGGTTCATGTTGACACCTGCACTCCCAATCCCTGTCAAAATGGTGGTACTTGCTCGGTAGGACCTAATGGCTCGCACAAATGTCAATGCCCCAGCGGATTTACCGGTGCCTCTTGCGAAGAAAACATTGACGAATGCCAAGGCAATCCCTGTCACAATGGTGGTACTTGCATTGATATGGTCAATCAATTTAGATGTCAATGTGCCCCCGGATTTTTGGGTTCCTTGTGTACTGAAAAAGTAGATTTGTGCCTGATCAAACCCTGTGCCAATGGTGGTACTTGCAGAAATTTGAATAACGATTATGAGTGCACCTGTCGCCCTGGTTTCACCGGTAAAGATTGTTCCGTTGACATTGATGAATGCAGCTCCTCGCCCTGTCACAATGGTGGTACCTGTATGAATCGTGTCAATTACTTTGAATGTGTGTGTGCCCAAGGTTTCCGTGGTCCCCAGTGTGATGAAGAATCCTATGCCTCAGCCACCTATGATGCCCGGCAATATGAAGCTACGACACAAGCTAAGCCTAGGAGTGACGGTTTGACCAGTGGCCAAGTGATTTTGATTGCCATCCTCTCTGTGGCCATGCCTTTGGTAGCTGTCATTGCCGCCTGTGTGGTATTCTGCATGAAACGCAAACGCAGACGTGACCAAGAGAAAGATGATGCCGAGGCCCGCAAACAAAACGAACAAAATGCCGTTGCCACATTGCATCACAATTCCGGGGGTTTGTCCAGTGTTGCCGTTGCCGCCTTGGGTGTGAAACGTGGCAGCAGTTCCGGGCTGACTTTTGATAACTCTAATCCCAACATCATCAAAAACACCTGGGATAAGTCGGTCAACAACATTGCCAGCTCGGGCTCAACGGATGAGTGCCTGATGAACACCTCACTGTATGGTGGTGCCCTGTCGAACTATGCCGCCGACAACAATGCCAATTCAGAATTTTGCGGTGTTGGCCAAATCCAGCCTCTGCAAAGGGCCAAATCGCAGAAGCAATTGAACACCGATCCCTCGCTAATGCACCGGGCCTCACAGCTAATGGGTGCTGTGGGTGGCGCTAGTGGCGCACATGCACCAACCAAAGACTATGGAGCTGGTGGCAGCTCTTCGAATGGTGTTGGTGGTGTGGGGGGTGTGGGTGTTGCCGGCCCAGAAGGCAAACGGATCTCAGTTTTGGGCGAGAGTGCCTACTGTTCGCAGAGATGGCCTTCATTGGCGGCCCAAGGTGTGGCTGGGGGTTGTGGGGCTGCCTCAAGTTCAGCAGCCAGTGGTGTGGCGACGTCAGGCCAAAGATCAATAGTATGTGGTACACCTCATATATAAGCACACACAAACACAAACACACACTCTTAGGAAAAACAAAAACAAAATTGTAGGCAAAACAACAAATTTATTTAGGTGTAAAGTTAAAAAATGAAAAACGAAGATGATAAAGAAGAAGATGAAGATTTAAGGAAACCAAGCGCTGTTGAATATTTTTATAAAAATATGTGTTTATTTTTTTAATTAATTTACCACACTCTCACACACACACACCCAAACAAACAAACAACAAGACATCTCATAAAAATAATAATTCCTCAAGAAAATAGTTACTGGAAAAATAGAACTACCTACCCACACTCTCTGTACCAATTTTCCCATACTCCACTTCAACCCACTCTCTCTCCCCTCTCTCATCCTATTTTTTATATAAGTTTAAAAGAAAACGAAAACAAGGACTGATTTATATAAAAAACAAAACAAATTAAACTATAACAAAAAAAATAATTGTGTATAAAAACTAACAACAACAAAAAAATGGAATTCTTTATTAAGTAAAAACCACAAAATTATTCTCATGGAATTTATTTTTCAACCTCTCTCCCGCTCTCTTTACATTCCTATAACTCTATTATTTTCGAATTTTAATTTCTTCCCCCTCTCTCCCCAAAGATTTAAAGCTGATTTTTTATGTAAATTTATAAATGACTCTTTGAAATACCAAAAAAAAAACCTCTTTCCCCCAAACAAAAAAGACAAGGCTTTGTAATCTTTCCTTCATGTGCCGAACCAACTATTTCTTCTCTCCTTAAACCAAACCACTTGACGCATGTTCGAAATTTATAAAAAATATTATATTTTTTATTGTATATATTAGAAACTTACTGAGTATTCCTTAAATAACCCAATCCCCCACTCCCATTCCCAATTTCCCTCACATCTCCCTTTCCCCTCAATCCCTTATTTTTTATTTAGCTTTTTTTATTAAGTTTTTCTCTCTCAGCTCTTTTTTATGCAAAGAGCATTTAAAACAAAAACAAACAAACAGATATGTAAATATTAGTTTTATAATTATAAATAATTATTATTAAATATAAATATCATATAAATAATATTAATTATTTTAAGTTTAGCTCATAGGAAAAAACAAACGAATTGGAAAAAAACAAACATATAAAAAAAACCCCAAAAAATAACTATTTGACCTTAAACTCTATTTGTAAACAACAACAACAACAATTTTTTTAGTATTTTATGTTTATTATTTTTTTATAAGCTAATTTTCTTTATAGTTTAATTTAAACAAACGAATTATATTTTATAGTAAAAAACAACAAATATTGCAAAACAAACCTCATCCTCCCCCCCAAAAAAGAAGACAATTTTTTGGAAAACAAATAATTCTGTAAAAATCTACTATTATTATTTTTTGCCTCTATCTCTTAAAAAAAAATAGTGATCCACATTTTCATATTAATTTTTTATAATTTTTTTTTAATTTTTTTATTTTTTATTTTACTATTTTGTTTGAAATTTCCCTCTCTATACAACAAAAATACCAACATACGAAAAAAATATTAAAAAAAAACCAACAAAAAAACAATAAATTTTATATTGAAAAAATTTGTAAAAAAAAACACAAAATTCTTTTTATTTCAACAAAACATCAACAACAACAATATTGTGATGAAGAACACGAAATATTGAGGTGAATGGGAAACAATGGGAAGCTGGGCTGGGTTTACAATGGGTTCGAAGGAAATTTGGGAGGTAATATTCGCCAATTGATTACAACTTGGGAAAGGTCCATTTAAAATGACCTAGAAAGCAGCTGTAATTTATCATTCAAGCTTCGGGTATTAGTCGAGTCACTATACAAAAAAAAAAAAAAAAAAAAAATAAATAAATAAAAACAGTTAATTTAGAATGGTTCGAAATTTTTATATCCTCCTCATTGTGGAAGAAAAAAATTAAAAAAAAAACTAAAAATTCCGACGATACCATTACATTGGAGCACCATAAATTTCGGAAAACCCTGGTGGTACTTTGGTCCTTTCCTAAATGCCAATTTACTTCCATTTGGTTTGAAAAAATGCGGCTAGGACCTTAAATAACCTTCAAAACCCTCAAGCCAGGGGTCTAAAATGAGGCTGTTCCAAAACTTTCAATGGACCTCATTGTACAAAAAAAAACAAAAATAATAAATAAATAAAATAAAACTAAAAATTCCGAAAATACCATTACATTGGAGCACCATTCATTTCGGGGAAAACCTGTGGTACATTCGTTCTCTCATAAATGCCAATTTACTTCAATTTGGTATGAAAAAAATGCGGCTAGGAGCTTCAAAAACTCTCAAAAAAGCCAGGGGTCTTATATGAGGCAGTTACAAAAACCTACACTGGACCTATACATTGTAAATGTTCCGGTTTTTGTTCTTTGAGAAACTAAAATATACCCCATTACAGATAATGTGGTTGGAAATTACGACTATGGCTTTCGTCGGGTCCTTAATGGACCCAGACATTTATATGACAGCTGTGTGAAAGTATGAAGAAAATTCTTCCAGGGACTCTTGTCCTCTAAAAAACTCAAAATGCCTAATTCTAACAATATCTGTTGGAAAAATGCTGCTAGAACCTTGAAAGCATTACGAAAATCGGACTACTGGACAAAAATATGATGACTATGTTATCAAAACATGGACCTACATTGAAAATTTTCTGCGAAGAGATATTTTATTTCTCATTTGACCGAAATTCGGCAGGAACCTCCAAAAAGGTCAAAATACGAACCTATTTCAAAAAAATTCTTCCAAGAGGGGAGCTTTCTTATCCAAATTACCGAAAAAATTCCTCCCGAAGGTCTTTTATCATCTGAAAACCCAAAATGCCTAATTATAACCGCATTTGTTGGGAATTGTAATTAAAACATTTTAAATAGCGAAATTCGGAACAACATTGAGAATTTTTTGTGAAAGCATATTTCATTTCCTGAGGAACCGAAATTTCGCTGGCAGCTCTGCGAACCCTAAAGTAGTTCAGGGCCTAATATTTTTATTAGGAAACATAAAGTTGGCCTTGGCCTTTTTATGGGGACTGTGTGAAAATATTGAAAATTTTCTTCTGGAAGGTATTTTAACCTCTGAAAATCCGAAATGCCTAATCGTGCCAACATCGATTTTGACTATCCAAATAGTTCTGGAAATTTGCACTAGAACAATAAGAATAGTGCTAAAAAGTACTAAATATGGTATTATTTGTATTTGGCGAACCGGTGGAGCTAGAACCATTAAATTTTAAATGAGGATCACTGATGGAGCGTAGAATAGATGTACTAAAGGTTTTTGTGAATGTACTAAATTTCGTACAATATTGTGGAATGAGCTAAATACTTGAAATTTTGTATAAGGATAAAGTTTTGATAGGGTGTACTCATGTATACGTAAGGTACTATATGGCACGATTCGTATACATGAGTTAATTGTACAAAAAAAAAAAAAAAATATATATATATATATATATAAATGTACCAAGTAGAGTAATATATGGTACTATATTTTGTACAATTTTAATTTAGATGTACGGATAGAACAGTAATCCTGAAATTTAAAATTGAGATTGCCGTGGAAAATGTTCACTTATGTGTACGAAAATTACTAATTCGTACTATAATTGGTACAATTTTGGTTTGGCTGAACCGATAGAGCTGGAGCACTAAAATTTGGAAATAATATTACTGTTGGAGTGTAGGATTGGGGTATGGATGTTGTTTTGGAAATTCAAACATATCGGTACTAAATATGGTACAATTGGAAATTTTGGGTGAACCGATAGAGCTGGAATCCTGAAATGAGATTTCTGTGAGATATTATGATATTTTTCTAAAATCCTGGGATGTCTCGGCGAAAAAATAAATATTTTCCACACATTTTCAATTATGGTTCCAATTTTTCGTTTTCTTTTTTAAAGACCCACCACTAGAAAGATTATTCCGAGACACTGGGCCTTAATTATGGTCTTATAGATGCTTTTTTTTTAATTTCACATTACCCATTAACTTTTCGATAGATGTATGTTCCATTCAGTTTCATTAAAAGTCAAAATATTATTTTTTTTCTTTAAAAATAAAATGATCTCAAAAGCAACAAGTTAAAAAAGTAAATTTTAATTATTATTTAAAATTGTGTACATATGAATATGAAATGTTCCTCAGTAGAAACAAAAGAAAAATAATTATAACAAAAATAATTTTTAAAAAAATATAACAAAATGTAAAAATAAAACGAATTCATTGTGTAAATGACAACATTTGAAATTATGTTTTTGAAATATATTCCTAGTGAATAGTTTTATTTTATATTGTTATGTTATATAATTTGTATTTTTTTATTTTTAATTATTTTTATAATTTTAATATTAATTATGTTAATTTTTTAATTACTATATATTTTAATTACAATATATTTAAAATTTCTTAATTAAAATCTTTATTTAATTTAATATTTTTTTGTAAAAATCTTTCTATATTTTTGAAAATGTATATATTGGTAGTCTCCTCGATTAAATATATCCTTATAAATACTTTATAAGACACAAATAAAACATATCGTGTACTATATAAAATACATGTATATCCTTTAGTTTTGATATAAGTCTACACGAAAAAACAATAATACATAAATATATATTAAAAAAATGAAAAAAAAAAAAAATATTTTTTAGTCTTAAATTTTAAATGTATAAAAATAGTTGTATTGAAAAAAAAAAACAAATATGAAACAAAATAGTGAAAAAAATACTGAATGAAATAAAGAATATAATTTTTATGAAATGAAAATCAAAATCTGTCGGTTTTGTTTAATAAAAAAATTATGTAAGTATTGAAGATAATTTTTTTTTCCTACCATGAACTTCTCCTAGAATGAACTTTTTAAACAACATTGTATGCGTGAATTTCACATGAATACATTTTTCAACAACCCTTCATAGCTTGGATATTTAAAACAATATGTTAAGCACCCAATCCAAGGTGTAGTTACGTCTGCGGTGTTCTCTGAAC